ACACACACACACACACACACACACACATACACACACACACACACACTGAACATTTAATACACTTTGTAGATCAGTGAAGATTCTGTCAGAAACAACAGTAGGTCTCTCAAAGTAGAGGTCAATTTGCCCTTATAATATATGGTGGCAACGGTTAAACTGGGACCAAGAGAAGACAACCAAGGGAAACTGAAAAGAGAAAGTAAAATTTAGCAAATCAGAATAGAACATTCCTTTCCACAAATTTGATTAATTTTGGCATGACTCAGAAGGATTTTGACACATAGTTGTCAATAAGGATTACAGTAGTGTAGTGTAAAGGGATTATTTCTAGTTGTAGGTTTTCTCACACAGCCTTTGATCTCTCCCTTCAGTTTCAGGTAAAATGGACACCAGCTAGCTGCTCTTTAAATCACCCCTCTTGGATGCTACACTAGCAATGCATGAGGCTTTCCCCTCTCTTACTCTGTACTTCATAGTGCCATATTTAGGCTGGTCTAATTGGCTTCACTGTTTTCTAACTGGCCCAAATCCAAGTAGAGTCTGAGTAGTTGAAGACTATTCAGGATGTTTCTTGGACAGAAACTGACAGGCTCTGAAATTGGTTTTCACAGTCTCTCCAAAGCTGTTGAGGCCTGTGTGTGTGTGTGTGTGCTAGAAACTTGGCATGTGGATGCTTTTATATTCTTGAAGCTCAGGAAGGCCTGAAGAAGGACCACTGATTGCTGATAAAAGAGGCATGTTCCAATTATATCTTATTGATGATGGTAGTGGAGTCTTTGCTATATAAAAATTTCTTGCTGCTACCTAAAGAATAAAAGAATCATGGCAAAATATCGTCAAGTGAACATGAGAGGTTAGTTAGTTAGCTAGTTAGTTAGTTAATTATGCAAATTTAGATAGCCACTCAACTAACCAGTGAAGCTCTGGGTGGCGAACAGAGATAAAAGCATAATACAATTATGAAAATCCATTAAAAGAAAAAAATGAGTCAAGGCCTCTGTGAACATCTGAGTAGCAACATATTGCACATACCCGTGTCAGAGCTCCCTTAACATCCTGGCCGCAATGCTTGGGGGAAAAGCCAGGTCTTCATGGCCTTCCAGAAGGCCAGCAAGGTCAAGACCATCCATATCTCCTGGGGGAGACTGTTCTATAAGGTAGGTACCATGACAGAGAAGGCATGCTTCCTAGGACCCACTAGCTTACTCTGCATCACCAAAGGAACCCAGAGCCCACTCTGCCAGATCTGGTGGGATGGGTGGAGCCATCAAGGATAGGCAGTCCCACAAGTAATCTGGCCCCATGCCAGGTGGGTTTTTAAAGGTGACAACTGACACATTGAATTGCACCCAGAAGCCTACTGGGAGCCAATGCACCTCCTGCGGTAGCAATGTTATGTGTGAGCACTATGGTGCAGTATGATCTTAGCCACAAAGAAAGGCTGCCAGTGAAATATATCCCACAGGCCCACCTGCCTTTGTATGTCCCCAACTTTTTGATGCTTCCCCAGTTGCTTCCACAGGTAGGGGTGTGTGTGTCTCCACTAATCATAAGATGATTAAGATGATATTTCAAACTACATAGTATGGCCACTTTATGTGTGTGTGTGAGAGAGAGAGGGAGGGAGGGGCAGGCAGGCTAACTCATTTCATTTCTGGACTTTAAGAAGTCATCCTTATGCCAGTATTTTATTTATTTATAAAGTTATGTGCATGCAACCTCATCTAAAGATATTAGGTGACTTAAGTCTCTAAAACCAAGTCATATAAATAAAGCTGTAAAGCAGTAACCATATCAATCAATAAAATCACATTGCCACAAAATCCATCCAGACAGTGGCCTCCATCTTGCTCTCCCCATTCTAAACTCCATAGCAGCTTGCCTAAGAAAGGCCACTCTAATCTCAAGGGATAAGCCATTTCAGAGTGAAGGAGGCCATAACTAGGAAGGGCTATTTCCAGATTTCCACCCTCTTTAACTTCTTGGGGTTATCCACAACAGGCCAGCATGTATCAGATGGTCCTGAAGGTAGCAAGGAACCAAGCCATAATAAGCTTCATATGGGAAAAAAACCCAATACTTGAATTTGACCTGGAAGCCTGGCAGCCAATGCTGTTCCTTCAACATTGGTTTTATTTTGTTGCATTTTCTCTTACAAGTCAGCAGACTGTTGCATTTTGTAACAATTGCAGCTTCAGTTGTCTCAAGGGCAGCCATAGTAAACTGCGGTAATCCAACTGTGAGATGATAAAGGCTTTTAGCTACTACTGTCACCACCTCCTAGTGCAGGAAAGGTCACACCTGGTGCAGTAGCAAAGATAGACAAAGGTCTTCCGGCCACCACCTCCATCTGCTGCCCTAGCAGGAGTTGTGAATCCAGAAGGACACCTAGTTAGCACACTTGCTCCTTCAGGGGCATTGCTGCCCCATCCAGATCTAAAAGTCATAGAATAATGGAGTTCAGAGTTCCCAGCTCATTGCAGGATTCACAGATGACCTCTGTTTGAAGACCTCCAAAGACCTTTAAAAACATATAATGACCATGGGATGGTATGACTCTAGGTCAGCCTTCTTCATTTTGGTGTCTTCCAGATGTGTGCACTTTAACTCCAATAAGTCCCAGCCACTATATTAAGGAAGCTTACATTAAGTGAAAAGAGCTATGGTAATATACTTTTTGGACTCGTTAGGTGGATGCAGAGAGTGATCACGCTTTGAAATTATAGCTATATTATTAGATAAAATCTATAAAGTTATGTTAACCCCAGCGATCCATATGGCCCCCATCACAAGGGTGTTCTGTGAGTATTTGAAATTTTGGGTTTGCTTCCAGGTCTGGCAGCAGGGTGGTTGCTGAGCCCCAGTTAGTTTGGGGGGGGGCATTGTGTTCTCCTTTGAGGGGTGTTGGGTTATTCTGGATGTTGGTCTTTTCCTTTGGTTTTTATTGTTCATGACTTTTAATATATAAGCTGCACAGAGTTGTTTAGAGTTGAGCAGCTTCTAAACTCTAATAAAATTAAAAATGATAATACAAACCGAGCATACTCATGACAAACCTTCACTCTAGCAATCTCAGAAGCCAAAAGCAATTGTCATCTCTTTCTTTAAAAAAAAAAGCAAAACTGGAACCTTGATATGTTTTGAGCTTTTTTTTTTTTTCTTCCTGTTTTCCCTTTCTGCATTGTTGGTGCATTGCAGACACCCTGTCAACAGGAATTGGATCAGGTTTTGGAACGTATATCAACCATGCGCCTGCCAGATGAACGTGGTCCATTAGAGCACCTCTATTCCCTAAATATCCCAAATTGTGATAAACAAGGCTTTTACAATCTCAAACAGGTAAGAAGAGTACTTGATGGACTGCAGAAAACATGGTATCAGGATGAATGGGTAGTTCCACTCTGTGCAGACTCATATATAATTCAACGTAAGGAAATCCTTGGGCAATCAAGCCAAAAGACCATGCAGTGGAATATTGTTCAGTGGTTATTAATAAATAAACAATTATTTTATATAGAAAGAATACATTATAAACATTCGAAGGGAAATCACAGTGGAGAGAGTGCTTTCCCACTCATATTGTTTTCCACATCCCCAATGGGCGTAAAATGCCTGCTTTGCTTTAAATGTTTTAATTTTATGCCCATTGGGGTTGTGATAAACTATCCCTGGAGCATGGGAAAGATATTTTGCAGCTTTTATGTAATTGGTGAGTTGCCCAGATGTGAGTCTATCTGTTTTCTCTCTCTCTATGTCCCTGCTGTGAGTCATGTTTTCATTGTCTTTAAGACAATTTTGTATCAAAAACATTAAGAACAAGAAGCAAACTTTAAAAAACAGTGGAATTAATTGCATTTTAAATAATGGCAAAATTGTGTAGAGCACAAAATTATTGATAGTCCATTGTACCATCTCTGACCATCTCCATGTTTGCCTGGGCTTCTTGGTATTGGGAATCCCACAATATATAGACTTTTCATTCTGCTGTTTTCTTAAAGCATCCCTCTTCTGATTTCCCATCAATTTTGGAATCCTTTTTCCCATCCCCTTCATCCCCCTTGTGCTCTGGAATCTGAAATAGCTAAGGGTCATGGCATGGTAGGCATATTTGATTTGAACAGATTTGTTCTTCGGTTAGACAATTCACCACATAGATGACCTCTTGCTTGATCTCTATAACCAGAGGGAAAAGAGCTATATCATGTCTAATGTTCACTTTTCCCATGGAATTATTAGGAATATTGATACATCAAAAACAGTGAGTTTATAAGGGAAAATTTGTTCTAGTCAGCAGACAGGAACCACGTCTTCATTTTAGCTGCTGACATGAACTATATTTTTGGAGGCTATTCAGAAATATACACCCTGATTTTTAGAAAATGTTCTTAAGAACACTAGGGAGATCATCAGCTATTTGTCAGAAGGTCCCTGGGCTCTTGAATTTGAATGCCGAGCAAGAGGCCTTACTCCTGACAAAATGGAGCTTCTAGATTAAGCCCTAGAGCAGGGGTCCTCAGACTTTTTAAACAGGGGGCCAGTTCACAGTCCCTCAGAATGTTGGGGGGCCGGACTATAATTTGAGGAGAGGAGGAGAGCTGCCGGACCTGGCATACCTGTCATATAGAATAGTCCAGCTCTGCGATCTCCCTCCTCGTGCATCACCTGCAGCTCCTGACACAGCCTGGACACTTCCGCTTCTGAGAGACAGCAGCGGCGGCCAATCAGGCGGGCGGGCTGGATAAACAACCCTGGCCAGCCGTATCCAGCTTGCGGGCCGTAGTTTGAGAACCCCTGCCCTAGAGGAATAAAGGATGGAGTGCATGTTCACAAACAACCCAGCAACAAAGTTTCATGGCAGGATCACAGAGCCAGAAGCTTTTTCTCCTCCTCTTTTCAGCTATTCCTAGGTGAGCCCGCTTGCCATTTTCTAAAGATGCATCCGTAATCGATACAGTTTTTCCCTTCTAAAACCAGCTGGCATCATGTTCTATTTTTAGAGCCTCCTGTTGGATATGTGGGGTGTGAACATCAGTGTAGGGTGTGGTTGCTTTGATGCAACTTTCCCCTTTGTGAGACAAAGGAAGCAATCCCAATGCCTTCAAGGGTCTAGTTATCTTGGAAGGCTCACACCACACGGTTGAGGCCAGTACCCCTTCAATTGATTACCCCTGGAGGGAGTTAGTCCACTTAACACACCATTTTTATGTACTCATTTTTATCAGATCAGATTACAGGCAGATACATGTGGAGTTGGGACTCTCTTCCCTTGATACCACAAAATAAAATAAGAATTGCCGGGGATTTAGAATCTCTTCTATTGGAATCATAATTGAGTTAGAAATACAGAAAAGCGCAGACTGTATGGGCAAGGAGAGGAATTATGTGGCTGGTTGCTTTGCTCATTTGATTCCCATTGTACATTTTTCTCATTCAGGAGATGAGATTAATATTGGATCTAGATTCAAATAAACTCTATTTGCAATAAACCCACTAAGAGTAATTTGAACTAACTTTTGATGGTTCATTCCTCCAATTGTTAAACATGAATGTCAGTGGTGTACCTACAGTGTTCTGCTAACTAATCCAAGCAAAAATGCCCCTTTTTTGCATTATTTGCACTGGGAGGCTCTAACTATTTACTTATGGATTAAGTAATCAACTCTGCACTATGGAATTTCTTGATGTTCTCAAACTGGGTATACTAATGACATAATTGTGTGATATTAGATTGTTCTAACCGATGCATGGCAGAGGATGAAAATAAAGATTATTACTGAAATATACACTGAAATACACTAAAAATAATTTGAACAAACTTGATGATTCATTCTTCTCATTCACATATTGTGTGAAGCCATGGTTTATTGAATTGACTGCAATTATACTACACGTTAAGCCATAAAACATATTTTACAAACCACAATGCTCGGTTCACACAATAAACTAAGCCATAGTCCAAGAAGCTATGTTATGGCTTGGTGCACAATATGGATTTAATGGGTGACTTTAACGGGCCTAAAACATCACTGTCCCCTCCTCCCCCAAAACATCTGCCTTCTACTTTCCCATTGCTCACTGGGGAACTGCTTTTATAGTTGCTTTGTATAAGCTTAAACATGACCCATGGTGAAATCTGTTGAGTGTTGTAAAATCCTGTGGGAGTTCACAGTTCTCACTGCAAGTGAAATCTACTATTCCAATTTTATTTCTCACTGCAAAACATGACATTCTTGTTCATATGCTGTTTCTATACAGTTTAAACCAAATATGAGAAAGTCCTTTCTGATACGTAGTCTCTAACTATGATAGAACTAGAATTTCTTCACAATCTCTTCCTTAATTACATGTAATAGATTTTATGCTATGTAGTTTAAAAACTAAATGTTACCTAATTTGTAAACTTGGCATGCTGATGCTTCATTGTTAATCTCAGACATTATAACTGCAAGCAGTCATTTTGTCCTCCAAAGCTTGTAATAAGCCAGCTTTGTCAAACCTGATGCTTTAATCTATAAAATTAATGGCTTGCTATAGCTTTCACTATTCACCAGATACTATGATTGAATAATAAATCCTGGTGACTTTGGAAGACTGAGCAATCGTTTGCCATGACCTGTTATCTATAGACGAGTCTATTTAGCCAACTGAATTTTCAATTCTTCTGCTTCTCCTAACTTTTAGTGCAAAATGTCAGTGAATGGCCAGCGAGGAGAATGTTGGTGTGTTAATCCCAACACTGGAAAAACCATCCCAGGGTCACCTACCATCCGCGGAGATCCTGAATGCCACCTCTTCTATTCTGGCCATGAGCAGGAAGACAGGGGAACACCAGCCCTTCACGTGCAATAGATGGACACATTCCTATTTTCTGTCAAGTGGCTTGGCCTATACTCAGTGCTGGATTTTACATGGGTTTTAATGCATCTTGATTTTCTCCTTCATGTTGATGTTCCAGCAAATCCCCAGGAG